GTATAAGTCATTATAATCAGTAATTATGTCCCCACTGGATGCAACAAATGCCTCGTTTGTAATGGGTTTTAATGTTTTTGCCTCGTCGCTCCGGCCGGGACACGGCATCAACAGTATGGTGAGGGGCCTAACATTTCTGTCTCACGCTAGAGGTATTCGGCCAATCACAACGCATTGGATAGCTGGCCAATCACAGCACACCTCGCTTTTTCAGACTGATGAGCTTTGTAAAAATCGACATGTTTCAAAAAGGCGGGGCATAGAGGAGAAACAATAATGTACAGTATGTGGAAAATAATGTGTTTTTTTTTACTTTAAACCGCATAAACACATTTCATTACACCAAATACACCAAATAATGTTCTTTTTAGCAGCATCATATGACCCCTTTAAATATGATGGTTTTATTCTAAAAATTGTGATTATCTCTAATATGGACACCCAGCATAATATATGATATTTACCATCTGAATCTAACCATGTCATGTCAACAAATGGAAAAGACAGCCATCTATTAATTATCATGTTAATTACGGTGCCTTTAGCCCCAACAGCAGGGGCGCTTTTTACAGTAGCCCCTCACTGCAGAACAAAGATCCAGGGGGTGGGGTTGGATCCACATCTAGGGGGTGGAGATGGTAGGTTTAATGGTGGAGATGGGTGGGTTTAGGGATCAGGGGGTGGAGATGGGTAGGTTTAGGTATATGTAAGGTGGGAGGAGTTGGATCTGGATCCAACCTCGCCCCCTGGATCTTGTGTTCTGCAGTGAGGACCATCTCGCTTTTTATCCCAAATACCATACTTTTACATATTCTTTAGTTATTTCAAAACTGTTGCTTTAATTATCTTAAACAAAACTGAAAATCATAAAGAAGACCTTTGTCTCAAAATATATGCATTAATTTGAGCGATTCTCATTTGCTACTTAAATCTACAACATTTTAAAAAACATAAATTATTAGATCAAGTAAGCACAGAATCAACTTTGCACTGCTGCGCGTGATCGCGTCCAGGATCAGACAAGAATACACGTGCATCTTGAAAATTGGATGTTTTGGAAAGTGCTATGCCACGTTTTTGTGCCATCTAGTGGTTTAGATTAAAATAATATCAAAGGCGCCTTTTACCCCGGGGCGCCTTTAGCCCCGTTGTACTCTACTATCTGAAGTACATTTTAATACGCTTAAGAATAGGCCTACATCTTTTTTTCACGTGAGTACCGGTATATATTATCAAAATCCAAATTTTAGAAAAATATTGAGATAGTAATTTTGTTATATCACCCATACCCTAACACTAGGTGGTGCTATGTAATATTTATGTGGACAGATACATTTATTATATAGCACCATACACCTTTGGGACTTGAACCCCTAATAACAATAAATCCTAAATCTTAAAAAAAAAATTAAAAAAAACTATAGGGTTTCAGTGCCTCATGCTTGGTTGGACCCCTAATAATCATAAAAATGATCAGAACAAAAAAAAGTGTTTCAGCACATTTTCAAAACAGTTGAAACCCTTATAATAACAATGTCAAATTCCTACAATTACAATAGGGTTTCAGCACATGCTTGAACCCATGCTTGGTTACAGATTTAGGGAGATTTCCAGCACACAGCCTCCATGTAGTTCGAAATTATCACCACCAGGTGTCCGACTAGAACCATATTTTCAATAAATGTGAGACCCAAATAAAAAGTCCAGGTTAAGCAAGGCAGTT